CCATTTTTCTTTTGATTTGAAGAGAACAAAACAAAGAAGTCAAAACTCTGTTTTTTGTGTTTACCAAAAATGGCAAAAAAAAGAGAAACTTTTGTTCTTTGGGGTTCCTCTGTTTCAGAACAAAGACATGACAGGTCAAGTTTCTTTTGTCTGGTGAGTGTGTGTATTTATAACGGCGGAAATTTTGTTTTCTTTCATTAATATGTCCTTATACTTACATATATTATGGATATGTTTCATATACTTTTGTATTCATACATTTTAACCCAATGTCTAAGTTCCAAATTTCCAATAAGTTTTCTTTTACATAACAAAAGTTAACCGGACCGAAATTCTACTATGTTTTTAGATGAGTATAACCGTCAAATAGCATGTCACTAAATTTTTTAATGGAGTTAAAATATGGTATCATTTTGATTTGAGAAATGGGATTAAAATATGGTATCATTTTGATTTGAGAAATGGGAATGAGTTCTGGATGAGAATCGAACTTGATAAATGAACGAGTTGACACTATATATGCTCCAATTCTCTTATCATCAAATCACTATTGCTTGGTTAAAACGAAAAACTTGGGTCCAAATAGTTTAGTTTTAAAATCTACTTCGTATTTCCATCTTGTTTGATGCATGATGTAAGCAAAAGTTTCTTTTGTTGTTATATACTATTCAAATATTACGTTGTAGAATCTAATTCCGTCTTTAGCATTGCTGTTCAAAAAGTATTTAGATTATATAAATACTTAAGGTGTAGTTGAGAATATTTGAGAGATTTTACTACCAACATTTTCTATATTTGCAATTAGTATTTTTAAAATAAAACTTCTACTTCAATTTACAAAACAATTTATCAGATCATTCATATTTCACAATACCAAAGTAAATCAAAGTTAGGTGGGTATATAAATTTGAAACCTACTACTAGTATAGGAGTGTTTATTACAGTTTCAGTGAGTTGTTAAAATTTACTATTTGAGTTCGAGCTAATGTTTAAAAATATATATATATATCAATGGCAATCCGGATCTAACCCCAACTAATCTCCATGCAAATGTAGAGAGTAACTTGTTCAACAAATTTTTTAAAGGAGTTAACATCTCGACTGATCGTAAAAAGTAAAATAGTTTTGAGTGAAAATCCAGTCGAAGAAAATCGAGTAAATGCCATGTTCATGAGTATTTTATCACTACTAGATAAGGCCCATTAAAGTAGATAAATGGGCCTGGCCTGAGAGAGAAAGACTTCAAACGACGCCGTATTTAAAC